TGATGATAAAAACAAAATTTTGAAGTATATTTCGTTATTAATGTCTCACTCTCGTCACAGTGAGACCAGCCAAATCTGGCTTATGACTAACAACGTCAACATTTCTCAATAGTTTACAAGTACATTAAATAATATAGAGACAAAATGACGAAAGTTATACCGTACATAAGAAAAAATACTTTTTAAATCATTGTCACTTTGAAAATATGGACTCGAATTAGATGATCTCGGAATTACAGGGGTTTCGAATTGGTGAATTGTATTAAGTTCTGTTAAAACTCTCAAGGTATATTTGAAAATTACACATGGTTTGCCTATTATGGATGAGATGACAATATCATGCCTATATATAGATAAAGTAAACATTTATTACATTAAATTTAAAATTGTAAATAGAGCTTTATATAACGTTCACATAAATCTGAGACAATAATAGTTGTCTCAGTATAAACCTATATGAACTTTAAGTTTAATTCACTATATAATATGTACAAAAAATTATTCCTTCATTTGCTTCGTTTCATTTGTTTCTCATTAGTAACATTAAATGACAGTATAATAGCTAAGATCAACCACGATAGAAGATGAAGACGATTTAGATTGAATTATCTCAAGAACACTTACATTTGAAACACACACCCCTGGAACAAATTCAGTAAACATCATGAATTTATTATTTAACTAGTAATTAGTGTTCATTCAGTTTTATGCCTGAATCAACTAATGTGTGTAATGTTTACATACACGGACAACCTAGTCAACATCTTCGACGACATATAATACCAATAATCCATCAAAGTCCGACTAAAGGGTTTGCTTAAGAAATGGCTTTACCCATCAACACTCGATGTGTTGTTTTAATGTATTTTCGCCAGATATACAACACTTATCCAGTACTTCTGGTATTCGATACATGTGTTTGATTTCGTTTCTGAAAGAACTCTACGAGATCCTTTAATTTTAGCATTTGTTAAAAACTGATTGATGACTGACTAGGCGAGCTAATCGAACGTGCATTTGGTCCACAAACGGCGTGCAGAAACGGCTATGCTCACAACGATGTTTGCTGAAACAATTGAGACCCGTCTTTCGACTACTTTGAACAAATTATAACCGACATTTAATGCTCTCCATAGATTGGTCATTGTAATCGAAACTGGCGATTGTACTGAACAGTTTAGAAGTAAGATTAACGAGCCTACCAACTAATTTCATGATCTTGCTCTTAAACAAATAACATAGAGTGAGAATAAATACACTTTAAATAGGTAGCGGGTGGGAATAATTGCTTCACCGGTTAATTTACCCGTCAGACGATAATTATTGAAGTAGATTATACTCATTAAATGACAAACGAAGATTCAGACTAATTTTTCTAATTTTAATGTCGATTTGAGTTTTAACCGTTTTATTGGCAATCTGTTGCCTTACTGAAGAATAAACCACTAGGCCTATTTGAACATTGGTGTGTAGAAATTTGTGATAGGCCTATGAATAGATCTCAGATAAAATCTATGGATTTTAACGATATACCCTCATTAACATCTTTAATAATGAAATTCAATAATAAATTGCTTATATTAATTATTATTATTATTGATATTATTATTATTATTATTATTATTATTATTATTATTATTATTATTATTATTGATATTATTATTATTATTATTATTATTTAATTCCGTACCTTCAATATTGTAAATCATGTTAGAATAATAATCATTGCATAATTTTCTTTAAACTAAATAGGCTTATATTTATTCCATTATTCCATTTTATGACATTAAATGATAAAGTAAACTTAGCAAATTAATTATTAATATTAAATTATTATATAAAATTAGTTATTAAAGCAATATATAAGTACAGTAGATTTTATTGGTTAATCACCTTAAGACAAAGACATTGACAGAAAACTTGTCAGCCAATATATAACCAATACATGTAAAATATGTCTATGTTATATAAATTGCCAGATTGTTACTTTCATTTAATTTTTTTCTAATTTTGTTATTACTTTATTAATTTCAAATATTTTGTAATCTAAAATAGGCCTATATGAAAAAATACGGAGCAAATAAAAAACACAAAGCACGAGTTTCTTCATGCCGATAAAGCGCATTATTAAGTTAATCACACTTAATATTTACTGGCATTGATGGAACAATGTAACAAACTCAATTACGTCCAAGCTTTTATATTTATAAGCATCTTTATACAATAAAAGTAAACAATGGCATATGAAATTTGATTACAGAGTGTTAAATGCAGCAAAGGTTTACTTAATCGTTCACTGTAGCATAATCATGTATGATTTTAATATTGTAATTCTTGTATTGTTTTAAGAGTCAACATGTAAGTCAAATAATTTTGGAATATGCTTATGAATACTTATCACTTTGAGGGATTAAACTCAATTAGAGTTAGAGTCAGCTGCAATTGGTATTATTGAGCTAATAACTTCAGCTTTAATTCAACATGATTACCAACAATATAATCTTTTGATTTTAATTGTTTATCCCGGCAGTAAAAAGTAATCCTCTTACAAAAACATAAGTTTTTCAATAATAAAATTCAGGCGAAATCGTATGAGCTGCTTCAACGCCCTTTCCAATAGTGATTACCAATTCGTGTGTGCATTTAAACAGAATCACATCATGTTCGCCGCTGGTGGCTCTTCTGGGGCTGCTTAGTAATTCAATTAATTCTCTCCTGAGATAGGACTTCATTGCATCAACTTGCTTTCGAACTATTCTTAAGGGAAGATCGAGGAGACAAATCTATCGAAAGACGGAGACAAAAGATTGAAAGAGGGACTTAAACGAATTAGACAGGGTTGAATTTCTCATTTTGTCGATCATGTACAAATCGTAATTGAAGGTGATGCACTTGGAACTTTAGAATACTGTGAATTAGGTGACAACGGAATCTAATTTAAACGATCATATTTCTGCTATCGACGAAGTAATGATCCGAAATATGAAAAAGGCGTGAGCGTGGAGTAATTTCAAAGCGGGACGTGAGAAAGTTGATCGAATTTTATGTAGCACATAACAATAAAAGTAAAGGTGTTATTTTTGTTTAAGCAAGTGACATACAACTTACTTTGGTATGATGTGCCTTGATGGTCAGTGTGTTTGCTTAGTGAAAATACAATTGAAAATATTATCTTTGTTATTATTTCATTATTATTATTATTTCAGTATTATTATTCAATATTATTATCGTATTATTATTATCATCATTTTTATTATTATTTATTATTATTATCATTAGTAATAGTATTATTATTATTATTATTATTATTAGTAGTAGTAGTAGTAGTAGTAGTAGTAGTAGTAGTAGTAGTAGTAGTAGTAGTAGTAGTAGTAGTAGTAGTAGTAGTAGTAGTAGTAGTAGTGGTAGTTGTAGTAGTAGTAGTAGTAATTATTATTATTATTATTATCAATATTAATATTATTTTATTATAGATATACTTCTTGAGGCAAGGTACGGGAATAGTCGAAAACAGCGCCGCAGTCGGACGGCCTTTACAAACCAGCAGCTAGCCGCACTTGAGAAAACTTTCGCTAAAACTCACTACCCGGATGTCGTAATGCGGGAAAGGTTGGCAATATGCACCAACCTACCAGAAGCTAGGATACAGGTTAGCAAAAATTGAATATGTATCAATCGGCGACAGTTGTCGGAAAGGTCGAACTTGGTTTAACTTTGCCGATTGCGTTGCAAACGAATCGGGATGCCTTCCCGGTTGCGTCAGGGCAGCTAGCAAATGCACTATGAGATTCTCAATCGGCAAAGTTAAACCAACTTCAACCTTCCCGGAAACTGTCGACGACTGTCCCCTATAGGATGAGCGATTCTATGGAAACCGAGCTTTACTGACAATAGAATTATATTTTCTTATGATTACTGATATATCAATTCATTATCATTAAAAGGTGTATTGTCCCCTGAAAAGTACCAAAAAATCTTTAAAAAATTACTTTTAAATTAACTTACTCATTTCACAGTAACATACAAATTAGTAACATGAGCATAGTAATTATTGAATTTTAAAAATGTGTACCCTGATATTACTAGATAATGGAAATAAAAGTAATAAAACATTTCCAGTGATTAGAAGTGTTTCTTTGATTTTTCTGTATAGAATTATTACATTTTTTATATAGGTTTAAATTGCTGTTAATTTCACAAATGATGTTTATGATTTTTTTTTTGGTGTTTTTGTATGGGACAATACATCTTTAACTTTATTACTGCTTTCACAACAAATGATGTATCCTTGTTATGTATAGGCTAATAACCTAATTAAGTTCGAGATTATTAACAATTGTAATTGTATAATGATATATTATTATTATTATTATTATTATTATTATTATTATTATTATTATTATTATTGCTATTGTTATTATTATTAGGCACATTACTAATATTATTATTATCATTATTATTGCTATTGTTGTTACCGGTATTGCTTTTGATATTGAATTGTCAGTGACATACTGATTTGTATTGCTACTCTGAACAAGACACATAAAAAAATTAACAATTCATTTTACACCCATTATTATTATTATTATTATTATTATTATTATTATTATTATTATTAGGCACATTACTAATATTATTAATTTCATTATTTTGCTATTGTTGTTATTGCTTTTGATATTGAATTGTCATAATATCCCGAATAGGTGTGGTTCAAAAATCGACGTGCTAAGTACAGAAAACAACAAAGAAATCAAGACCACCATGAGGATGGTAGTAACCCTTCTACAACAGCCCAAGATGACCCCAGAGATACCTCTGTACAAACGAAACCAGTGACGTCATCACTATCAAAATATGAAAGCTCAGATGAACTTCAAGATGAGCATGACAACACGACAAAGCAGATAAATGAAAGCGATAGAAACCAGAAGGATAATGTTGGCGGGAGTGTGGCAGACGATCATAATGAAAAAAAGAGAAAATCACCTGAAAAAAGGGAGCCGCCAAGTGACCAACCCGTGCTGACCACTTCACCCTTACAGCCTTTTCCAGGTATTGACCGTTTCATATTATTACAGACATGAAAATAACTAATAAAGACAATAACAGAATCTACTATTACTGCTACTATTACTGCTGCTATTGCAATAAACACTTATAAAAGATTTAAATAATATTTTGGTTATGGCTACTGTGTCTAACTTGATTTTGTTAAAATTATCAATCTTATTGTTCTTAGAGTCGACCTATACCGTATATATGATGCTACCTTTTTTAACTTTAGAAACGAAGGTTAGGCCCTATATGTTAAATGCACAATTTTATTTCTGTTTACAGTTCCTCCGCCGCATGCATTATTCAATGGCATTTTCACGAACGAAAACTTTCACCTTCACCATCGCCTTCGAAATATGTATTCACATCCACCGCCTTCATCGCAAGCGTTCCTACCTAGGCCCCACCTAATGGGCCCCTCTGGATCGTTGACTGGCATGCCAGAGGGAACTGCACTCGTACCTAGTTTTCTAGCCCCTCCGTTTCATCCTTTTATTACCGTTGGTCCAAGACATATGTGTAGTCAATTTACTACTGAACAAAAACTTCCCAAATCTTCGATTGAGAATGTTCGAATGAGGGGCAGACCGTATGCTAACCTGATGGGTTTGAAAGGTTACATGAAATAGTAGCACCAGCCTTAAAAACAAACAAATCAAAGTAATTATTTCCTAAAGAACCTGTCAATTATCATTTCATTAATAATTGTAATTTTTACTGTTTTGAGTAAGACAAATAAGCATTTGATAGAATTATCGATACATTCATCTTTTTTAAGCTTAGATAAATAATGATTCATTAAAACACTGTGGCATAGTTACTGTATAATAGTATTTAATACATAAGCGTTTGTGTATATATTATTGATATGATTGAGATGTACAGTATATTGTATATTGTCTCGTTTTTACACTAAGTTAATTACATAATTTAGTTTTAATAACTAATAATATAATGTGCAATATATAAAACATTAACTATTACATCTGTTCCATTAGAAGTAGTATTACTCGTGTTTATTGATGGATCCGCAATTATTAATTTATGTATCTTTATAAATGAGTGAAAATGACTTCTTCAACCTTTCTAATGTAAGTCTCTGTAGTCTATTGTATCTGTATATAAACAATCCGCTGTGGTGACTCGTGTAAGCATTACTGTAGGCCTATTTGCACTTGCGTCAAAACGCGTATACCTTGTACTATGTGAATCAACCTTTACTTTAGTGAATAAAGTCACTGAAACAGAATGTTGATGATTCATAGATAGGCCTATGTATTGCAAATGTAAATTGGCGTAAACGATTAAGTGTGAACATTAAATTTTGTGGTAACCTTGTTGTGCCAATAAAGCTCCCCAAGAATAGATATTTATCATGTAGTATTAGATAAATCTAAGCAATTTACGCCGCCTATTGATTAATTTTGCAATGTTAACAATATTTTCGCAACTCTATTTAAAGTTTTATTGAGGCTATCTATAATTGTGAGATAATTATCATAAGTGTGGATAATTAACCCTTGTGAAAGTAGTATAGTTAGTAAATTGGATTAAATTGTTATGTTTGATAAATTATTATACAGGATTTACTTTCGCCAAATTAATTGAAGTGTTAAAATATTATGAGGAAACCATGCCATAACGAATCTTCTATTGACTGTTAGAATCAGAATGCTTATATTAGCCAAAGTTTAATTCTGGTGGTTAAGCTAATTGCAATACGTTGTATTAATAAACACATTTAAACGTTTCGGATAATTTATTCAATTTGGAGCATTTTACTGTTTGAGCCTTCTGTTATTGTGTCAGGAGCTTAGCGATAACTTAATAATTAAGTTTACTTTTAAGTGATTACTAGACGTAGGACTATTCAATTCTGTTTCAGTAACATGGCCTTTTGTGATACCGGTGCTGTATCCGAGCAGCTGAGACAACTTCGTTTGCAAAAGCGATACCAACTTTCCATATTCTGATAACGAAAATCTTCTCAATCAAGTTACGGATGCTATAATTCAACAAAACAGAATTGTCTCAAAAATTCGACAACACAGTCGGCACATAATATATGCAAAGAAAATATATTAAAAGCTGTGACTATATGTGATGGTATTCACAATCCAATATTCTTTTCATAACATAAAGACAGTCGGCTGTTAAATGTTTGAAATTACCTTGTTCAACATAATTTTCTTACCATTTAAATTTTGTGAATTATTCCAGAATTAAATACTTTGGTTTTTATCTACATTTGAACTTCTCTTTCTGTGAAGAAGACAACTGCTATTAATAACAATTATTTTAGCTAAAATTCTACGTCCAATTTTACAAAATCTACATAATCTTGTAATTTTATTTTTAAATCGTCATTTTCCAAATTTAATTTTTGTAAGAAATTTAAAACAAATCTAGAAGATACATATTTTTACATATCTGTGAATTATGCCGGAGTTAGTTTGGCGTTTACCTATATTTGAACTCAGCAAGCGTTCCCCTGGCACAATGGAGTGCGTTGGTCCAGGTAACAGTGAATAATTTCACTGTTCCCTGGTTGGACTTTATGGTACAACACGATCATATTCAAAGGTTGTGGGTTCCAATCCCGCCGGAGATGCCTTACTTTTCTTGTGCTATCAATAACAATACTTTTACCTAAAATTCTACGTTCCTTTTACAAACTCTACATAAATCTTTTAATTTTATTTTTATTTTCAAATTGCCATCAAGTGTCTTTGGGCTTCTATGATACCACACGATGATATTCAAAGGTTGCGGTTGGAATCCCGCCTGAAATGCTTAACTGTTCGTTTTTGTGACACTGCTTTTAATAACCATAATATTAGCTAAAATTCTAGGTTCAATTTTACAAACTCCACATAATCCTGTGATTTTATTTTTAAATCGCACCTTCCAATTAATTTTTAAAGAAATTTAAAACAAATCTAAACGATACATATTATTACACATCAGTGAATTATGCCCTAGTTAAACACTTTGGTTTGTACCTATGATTGATCATTGATCAATATCTAGAGGGTCTGCGTGGCTTAATGGATAGCGCGTTGGACTTCTATGGTACAACACCATGGTTTTCAAAGATTGCGGGTTCAAATCCCGCCGGAGATGCCTCCTTTTCCTTTTTGTGAAGACAACTGCCAATTAATAACAATAATATTAGCTACCGTAAAATTCTACTTTAAATATTACAAATTCTACATAATCCTATGATATTATTTTTAAATCAGCATCTTCAAACTATTTTGTAAAGAAATATAAATCAAATCTAAACGATACTAGGCCTACACATTTTTTGAATTATGCCCGACTCCTAGAAAAGGTCTCCGTGGCGCAATGGATAGCGCGTTAGACTTCTAAGGTACAACACGGTGGTATTCAAAGGTTCCGGGTTCGAACCCCGCTGGAGATACCTCATTTTACTTTTTGTGAAAATAATATAAGCTAAACTCCTAGGTTCAATTTTTAAAGCTCTACATAATCCTGGAATTTTATCTTTAAATTGTCTCTTCAAATAATGTTTTCAAGCAATTTAACACAAATCTAAACGATATATATTACATATCTGCAATTTAAACGAGCCTACTTTTTTAGGACGGGAAAATGCTAAATCGATCGCTAACATTTCCGATCGAAACTGATCGATTTCGTGTGTCTATTTCGTTTGCGTTCCGGATTGTCGATCCGTCATCTGCTTCATTGTAAAGAAAATCCACCTTAAAATACTAACGATTGGCACTTTAACAGCTAACAGCTCAACTTGAAATAACTGTCAGAATACAAAGTCCATAATGCAGTTATAATATTGTATCTGTTTACAATGAGCATTTTACCCTGCAACTATAGGCTTCTTTTGTATTTGTTAATCGATACACAAACTCTATAGAGCCGGAGATGCTGTCCAGTCCTGTCAATCATGACACTTATTTTATGCCAGTTACTAGGTATATTTGCACGAGGAAATTTGGACGATCGAGTAACGTTTGTATGTCGTGAACTTTACTATTCGGCCTTTTATGATGGACAGACATTAGGAAGTATCTTTGTTGTGGAAGAGCTTAATCAGTCCTTGCCAAATGCTTAGATCGTAATAAACTTGTAATGCGATCGCATCACTCTTCTTGTCTTACTTGGTAAATATAGAACCCAAACGAGCTTCATCTTCTCCAGTTAAAAGATGAAATAAGAAAAGTAAAAATCAAAGAACGACGAATATAAAGAGTTTTCTAAAAGGTGATAATGATGTTAAGTATTCAATTATGGATGTTATCGTTCAGGATATTCTGTGCTTCGACCGTAATTTCTCATATGTTTCGTTTTTATTAATTTTTCTATTAATTATTTTATCACTATTAACAATTTTTCTCCTTCCCTAAACTCAACAATATAAGTATAATTTTTTTAAATTGTATTAAATAACTTTACATAAATTAGGCAATTGATTGCCTAACTGTTGTTTTTTCAGGGTTATGAAGTAAACATTCCAAGAGTTCAAATGTTCAGATGTGATTCTGTTCAAATGCAAATCACAAGAAAGATTAAGTGCGTACGGCAAGAAAAATGACTGGATTTAGGAGTCACGCGCAGGGACGGAAGAAAGAACGATTAGCCAAAATAATGTACGGTAGTGGATTTGGTTTCGTAATAAGTTACGTCCAAAAACTTATTTCCAACGGGGTCCTTCTAGTACCCAAATAGGCAGCACAAAGGAAAACCCAGGTCTACCGTACATCAACATATATACCTGACTGTTAAAATTAAATTATGTGGGTCAACCCTTTGTTAAATGTTTAGCATTGCACTACTTTGGAGCAGACTTCGAAGGCTTGGTTGGGGGTGGCTCATGGCGCTTGGATAACACATTGATACATCCTTGTATCCAGGTAAAAATAAGCAATTAGAATAGTTGCGTATTATACACTATGTGAAAATTATTATACGAAGTTAGATTAATGCACGAACGAATTCCTTCTCTAAGCTGAACATTGTTCCTTGCGTCTTTGAAATAGGTCTATAGGCCTCAAATATTCCTATTAAATGTTCAGTTTCTTTAGTTTATTAGGGTCCATTGATTCATGGGATTCCTTAATTTTTGATATATAATATTAAATTTAAAGTGACTGTCCTCGGGTTCTGATATACCTTGTTTTACGAATGTTATTTTTAAAATTACCACTTGTCAACACATGGGTGAGTGTTTGCACGGCGCGTCGTAGTTCTAGGTGTAAAAGCACTAGCCTAAATTTCATCGCGGTGTACTAGAGAAATATTAGTCCACGGTTGGGGATAGGAAAATAACATTGGGAGTTGCAGTGATGGCGTCACGATTGACTTACAATATCTGTTAGCTGACAACAAATCATCAAAGTAGGCCTACGTCAGTTACGAGTCAATTTTGTATTTCTGCTTTTGTCTTCCCTTTTTATTAAAATTTGTTGCATATCAGTGTTAATCAGGTCAATATGCTATTTTAGAAACGCATAAAAGTTAACTAAAACCGAGGTCACACTGCGTCCACCCGACGGTCGGGCGACCCTAGTCAAATGAATTCGCCCGCGCTCTGTGTAAACGCTTGCCAAACGTTACGCAAGTACGCTGACCGTCAGCTGTCGTTCGCGTTGGTCACGTTGCTGCGGTCTCATGGATTCGCGTTGGCTGCCGACGTCGAATCACAGTGCACCAAGCTAACGGATACAATTCGAATCAATTCAGCTTATATTCAGAAACCGATTGCTTACTTTCACACATTATTGTAACAGTTTTTTCGCTATGTGCCGAGCACAGCTGAGCACACTGTCAAGCAGTAATCATCCTGTCTTTAGCCACGTACCAACTGCTACTGTGTGTATGCTCTGTATGTAATCAGTAAGAATTGACAAATCTATATTCGATATTTTAGACGCGTGTGGTTGGCATAATGTTTGAATTCAGATTGATCAGATGTTTCAATTGATGCGCTTACGTCCAGATAAATAAGTGTCTCGATACCCACAAGATCTGAAAGCAAACCTTGAATGTAATAATAATAATAATAGTGTAGTTTTATATAGCGCACATATCCATCTAATGTAAGATGCTCAGGGCGCTTGATGTGTGGACTAGGATGTTTGTTGTAGGCCTTTGTTTGTTTGTGTTCAGGCCTGCCAAACAGAAGGTGTCTTCCTCTAAACATCTTCTCGAGCGTGTGCCTTCTTCCGTTTGAACTTGTTCTTTTCTCTCCAAATCAATATTGATTTATGTTTCATCTTCACTGTATTTTGCCTGCAATGGAAGTAAATGAATGTCTTTATTGAATTGAATTTAATTGTTTTCTCGACCAAAAACTATACCGACGTTGTATTGGCTTAACGAAAAAACTGCAGAAAATTTAGAAATAAAAAATAATTAGATACGGTATTTAATGTCTTAGATTGTTATTGTCAGTTATGAATTATCTTGTATTATGTTTGTTACCACTATGTGCATGGTACTCTTGTATTTTTGCAAAATACACATTGTACACTGTTGAATAATTCGTTCTGTTTATAACGAAACCAATGGGTCTATCTCATTCATTTTAAGTAAGTGAAATAAAGAACAATGATTTAGAGCTATTTATCGGACTAATTGGAGTACTGTATATCTTATTATGGTATTATCGTTCAAATATATATCATCTAATAAATATACGAAATATTGAATTATACCCTAATTATATTGTTTTTTTTATTATCATCATCATAATCATTACTATTATTAAAATTATTATTATAATAATTATTATTATTATCATTACTATTATTAATATACTTATTATTATTATAATTAATAATAATATTATTATTATTACTGTTATCATTATTATTACTAGGCCTATTATTAGTAGTAGTTTAGTATTGTTTTGGTTGTTGTTTTATTATTATATACATTATCTATTCATGTTACCAAATAGATACTTCACAGACTGAAACATTATCGAAGATTATACATTAACTTAGCACCACATATGAATAGTATAAGCGTTTCAACATAATGCGTTTGCTCCCGGTCGATGATGTTTTTATCCAGGTCGAGGTATGAACCACACTTGCTCATTGACAAATTATACTAACGAATTACTTTAGCCACATAACTATTGAGCTTAAAGTAGTTTTTCCACGAGCAGAGGTTATGATTAATTTTGAATTAATTTTGAGCCCACATTTAAGATTATCGGCCTTCTGGAAAAATCGTCTTGAAATCTTTAAATAATTGGCTGTGAAGGTG